ACTAGATACAGTGTTCAAAACACTGGTTATGTGTTCAAAACATAAGGATGATTAGTGAACTTAGGGTGAACCTCAACAGCATAAAAAAAGATCCAGTCAGAAACAAGGGATACACTAACTGAAATAAAGAACAATTTACAGGGAAACAACAGTAGAGTAGATGAAGCCAAAAATCAAGTCAATGATCTGGAACATAAGGAAGCAAAAAACAACCAACCAAGAAAAAGAAAAGAGTCTCCAAAAAAATGAGGACAGTATAAGCGGCCTCTGGGACAACTTTAAGAGGTCCAACATTTGCATCATAAGGGTACCAGAAGAAGAAAAGAAAGAGCAAGAAACTGGAAATCTGACAAAATAATGAAAAAAAAAAAAACTTCCCTAATTTCATGAAGGAAATAGACATGCAAGTCCAGGAAGCAAGGGAATCCAAAACAAGATGGATGCAAAGAGGCCCACTCCAAGACACATTGTAATTAAAATGCAAAGGTTAAAGATAAAGAGAGAATCTTAAAAGCAGCAAGAGAAAAGCTGTTAGTTACCTACAGGGGAGTTCCCACAAGACTGTCAGCTAATTTCTCAAAAGAAATTTTTACAGGCTGGGAGGGATTAGCAAGAAATACTCAAAGTCATGAAATGCAGGGACCTACAGCCAAGGTTGCTCTACCATGCAAAACTATCATTTTTAATCAAAGGATAGATAAAAAGCTTACTACATATGAAAAAACTAAAGTTTATCATCATCAAACCATTACTATATGAAATATTAAAGAGACTTATTTACAAAAGATCAAAACTATTAATAAAATGGCAAAAAATACATATCTATCAACAACTGAATCTAAAAAAATAAACCAAGCAAACAAAAACAGACAGAATCAATAATAGGGAGGGCATTTTGAAGGTTGCCAGGTGGGAGGGGTATGTGGGGAAATAAGTGAAGAGGTGAGGGGACTAAGAAGTAAAAATGGGTCATTACAGTCTAGCCATGGGGATATAAAGTACAGTATAGGAAATGGAGTAGCCAAAGAACTTATACACGTGATCCATGGACATGAATAATGGTGGGGAGATTGCCTGAGTGAGGGGTGCTGGGTGGAGGGAGCCAAAGGGGGAGAAATCAGGACAACTCTAATAGCGTAATAAAAAATAATTTTTTAAAAAATATTTATTTTTAGAGACTGGAAGGGAGGGAGGGAAAGAGAGAGAGAAACATCAATGTGTAGTTGCCTCTCATGTGGCCCCTCTGGGGACCTGGCCCACAACCCAGGCATGTGCCCTGACTGGGAATCAAACTTGCGATGCTTTGGTTTGTAGCCCATGCTCTATCCACTGAGCTATGCCAGCCAGGCAGGAAAACATCTTTGTGTGGTCCCTTTCTCGTCTCTCAGGTCCAAGCTCAACATTCTAAATTCTGCTGTGATATAAAAAACACTTTCCCAGACTCCTTTGTCAGCAAGTTTCCGCTTATGTTTTATTAGTAAGAGGTACTAGGAGGAAAGGGGGAAAGGGACAGGTTGCTTTTTTGCTGTTCATGTCAGTGTTGCCCTATGAGTGGCAGTTGACCACAGCTTCCAAATTCCTTCAACTCTTCTAGAACTGAACTCACTAGGCTATTTAAGAGTACCAGCATCTGGGAGATGCTTCCTTCCCAAAGGTCTGCACACTAGGTCTGCAGGGTCCACCATCCCCCACCTCCGGATCTTTATTCTAGTGACCCAAACCCTTCCCATCTGCTTCCCAGCTCAGGGTGGTAGCCATTTCCTGCAGCTGTCACTTTTGGGTTTGGTGTTTCCTTTTGGTACACCTGTCTAACCAATTCCTTGCAGTCCTGCATGCCCTCTGCTGAAAGACCTACTGGGATTTTTGTTTTCTTAACTGGACTCCAACCAATACACCCAGTATAATCTACATTTGTCTAGTAGAAACTGAGCGGGGAGTAGGGTTCTCATCCTGACCCAGGGACACAGGTCAGTCTAACCTGCAGTAAGAATAGACACTGCAGACTTTTTGTGGATGATCACAGACTGAAAGCCTCATGAATTGAACTAGCTTCAGAGAGCCTAATTGTCGCAGCTTGGGAGTACAAAAGCCAAGTTGAAGAGAAATGTAAAGTAAAAATATAAAGAGAACAGTCCCCTCAGTTGAACTCAGGTTCTGTGTTGTTCCAAGTCTTGCCAAGACAAGGCAAAATATTCTGGGAGCAAAAAAAATCAGACTCAAACTTTAAAGTCATCCTTGTTTAAGATCTTTACACACAAGTAATGGGTAAACCTAGAGTAGTGGTTCAACTCCCTGGTCTCTCTTAAGAATTTTTAGTGTTTTACACACCTTTATGCATACCAAATGTGTGGAACTAGTATAGGAACTTGAAGAATTGGAATACGCTGGGACCAAGGTCTCTTGTGACACACAAAGCTGTGGACACATCTGGCAGGGGAGACATGAGTGGAGTTTTCATCAGTAGAAAAATGGTAATTGCCAATTTATGTATGCCACACCTGGGGATTTACGGGAGCATGAAACACCGAGTGAAAGTGGACTGGTGGATGGGGTGAATAGTCGGGGAAGAACTATCACCTTATTTTCGAGTCAGGGCCTGTGCCAGGTGCTTTATGTATATTATTAAACTCTTGATAGCAGCTGTTGGTTACATTATGATTTCTATTTACAAATTAAGAAAGTGAGGTAATGAAAATAGCTCACCTAAGATCACATAGGTAGAGACCAAGAAGGGAATTCTTTCTTCCTGCACTGTATGTCCTTGTTTAGATGGTCCAAAGCTCACACACATATTACTAGTCCAGCAGTTCAGTGCCCTATGGATTAAATACTTTTGAGAACTAAGGAGTCTAAAGGCATTTAAAGCCATTCTTGGCTCACAGGCCCCACACAAAAAGGTGGCATACAGATCTAACTCCTGGAATGTAGTTTGCAGACCTGTTCTAGGTCTTTCATTTGAGACCCTGGTGTATTAACAGGCTTCCTTCCCTTGGTGGATACTGAACTTGACTTTCCTCCTCAGCACTGTAAACCTGATGACAACTCTGTTTTTCACAGGTTTTCAGCCTTTTATCCTCTGCACTGAGCAGTTTCAAAACACCGCAATTACCTTGATAGGAAAACTGGCCTTGTGTTTGATGACCCTCAAGTCTCCAATACCGTCACTCTAGCTTCATGAAATGGACAAGAGCTCTGCCAGTTTCTTTGTTCACCAGCAGCAACCCCAATTCTCATCCTGCATTCAGAACAGGCACCAGCTATCAGTAAAAAAGTGGCTGCAAACATCAGTTCTCTGGTCTCCAGAATCCTAACCCCTGTATTAGTCATTGTTTCAGTAGCTCTCTGATACTTTAAGTAGACAATTGTACAGCGTTATGTAGCTTATCTCATTGTTCTCAGCCATGCTACATGGAAATGTTAAGTTTTTTTTAATAAAAAAAGATTTTATTTATTTTTGGAGAGAGGAAGGGAGAAAGAGAAACACCAATGTGTGACAGAAACATCGATCAGTTGCCTTTCACATGCCCTCAACCAGCGACCTGGACGATGACCCAGGCAGGCATGTGCCCAGACTGGGAGTTGAACCAGTGACCTTTTGGTTTGTGGGATGATGCCCAACCCATTGTGCCACACGAGTCAGGGCAGTTTTGCTTTTCAAATAATTTTAAAATAGTATGTTAAAGCTAAACAATTTCAAATTCATTCACTGCTAGTTCTAAAAATGGAAAATGCTATTTTTTGTCATGCTGAAAACAATTTAAAGGCAAAAAAGACCCTCTAGAGTGGTGCAGGCTGATATATAAGCTTCCTTTACACTAAAAATTTTTGGCTAGGTGATATATTCAGTATGATTGAAAATTCGATTGTAGTATAAAAGAACACCCTATGAACATACTATAGTGAAAAGGCATTCTCCCACTATCTCATGGCCACCCAGTCTCCCTTCCTACTGGCAGAACTGTTTCTCCTTCCAGGCATACTTTATACAAATACATATACATGGTTCTATTTTGGACAACAGTTGCACACTATATATACTATTTAACTCTGTATATTACAGTTATTTTCATATCTGTAAAATGGTTGGGGGGGTTGTTTGTTTAACCGCTATACAGTTTTCCATTGTACCATCATTTACTTCAGTGTCCAATGATACAACATTATGGTTGCTTCTAGGTCTATTATTACAATGTCATACAAAAATGTTTTGGACATGTCACTCTACACATATGAGAAAACAGCTTTCAGAAATTCCTAGAGGCAGAATTGTCAAGTTTATCGCCAAAGGGATTTAAACTTTTCCATTCATACTAAGCAACATATGAGTACATATTTCCCTACACTCTTGCCAAGATTTTTTAAAAATCATACATATACACAAAAATAGAACCAATCTTCTAATCTGAAGACTGGAAAAATGTATGAACTAATGTTAGTGATATCATGCATCTTTTCAAATATTTAAGAGACATTTATATTTCCTCTCCTGGGAACTATTTTCCTTAGTATCAAACATAAACTTTTCTAATTTTCCCTTTCGGTTATTAGTCTTTTTCTTAATGAATTAGGAGACACTTTATATAAAGGAGATTATCTCTTTGTAATGAAGTACATCTATTTCTTCCCCAGTGTGCCATGTCTTCCAATTTTCTTTTACAGTAGTTTTTGTAAAACATGTAATAGTCCATTCTTACTTTTAGTATTTTCTGACTCTCAACCTCTGCAGTTTTAGTACTCCCTGAGAAATTAAAGGTTCTCATATCCTTTCCACAAAAAAGGAAAAAGTAGCAATACATTCTGATGACTACCAAAATATTTACTAGTTTCTAACAAAAGGGCATACATAGTAGGACTATTAGACAAATTGGAGAACTGGCTGGTGTGGCTCAGTGGGTGGAGTGCTGGCCTTTGACTCCAGTCAGGGCACATGCCTGGGTTGCAGGCCAGGTCCCCAGCTGAGGGTGTGGGAGAGGCAATGGATTGATGTATCTCTTGCATAGTGATGTTTCTCTGCTCCTTTCTCCCTCCCTTCCCCTCTCTAAAAATAAGTAAATAAAAATGTTTTTAAAAGATTTTTTAAAAAGGAAAGACTAATTAAAGAAATTTAAATTTATTTTAAAACCAACTTTAGTCAGGAAGACTTCACAGACATATAAATAATTAAATATATAAATCCTAGGTACATCATACTATCCCCACCCCAACCCCCCGCTTCAGTCATGGACTATTTCAGGAAAACTTAATTATATAACTTTTATTTGTTTACTTTTTATTTTTAGAGAGAGGCGAAGGAAGGGAGAAAGAGAGGGAGAGAAACATTGATGTGCAAGGAAACATCGATTATTGGTTGCCTCTCACACACTGCCAGCTGGAGACCTGGCCGACAACCCAGGCATGTGCTCTAGCTGAGAATTGAACCGGGGACCCTCCAATTCACAGGCCGACATTCAACCCACTGAGCCACACTAGTCAGGGCTCAGACCCATCAATGTCTTCCCTAAAATGTGGAGTGAAATCACTCTTTGAAAAGTATCAGTTTGATGAGAAATAAATTTTAGTCTGTTTTAGGCAAATTTTGTTAGTTTCTGAGTACATGTTATTTCAGCATAATCACTACTCAGAGTGTGTAAAAATACTGACAAAGTTAAGGTAGACTAAAGCTCTTAGGACATTTTATTGTCTTTTTACCTTTAAAAGGATGAATTACTAGACATCAGCAGACATGCTGTTAAAACTGTTGTTTGCTGAAGGTTGCTCATATTAATGAAACAAAAATTTAGGAATTTCTAAATGTCGCAAAATGAAAGCACTGACTCTGATTTAACTTTGAGGGGTAGTATAAGGTAAAACCCAAGCATCATAATATTTCTGTCCATAAATACAAATAAAAGTCACTCCCAATACAGATGATAATATAAGTAAATAAACACATGGTTATTTATGTTTCAGGTTCCAAACACAGTATATTGTGATTTAACTCTCCTACAGTAAATTCCCATCTTTTTCCCCTGGAATAGAAGATTCATAAAAATGTTAATTTCCAAAATTACAGGTAATTTAATAACTAATTTTGATTTTGACAGCAGTGTCTGCAGTGTGACAAGCTGTAAAACTCAATGTTTTCTGTCATTTGGCAAAGAATTAGGGAGCATGCTCTGCCTAACAACTACACCTGCTGCTCTGTCCTGGACCCAGTTTCTGATCACCCACTGAGTTCCAATGTTTCCAAAGTGTCGGTTTGCTCTACTCAGCCTAACCTCTACTCTTAACTCCTTTGTATCGGATGTCTAGTTTCCTTTCTGTCAATCACAATTTTCCAGAAAACTCTGATTTCATGTGATCCTAACCCATTTTAAATAAAATGCCATAATGCTTAAAATAAAAAGATAAAAGTCAGATTACTTTAGTGTTATAGAAGATACATTTCACATGGCAAGCATGGCAAAGTAACAAAAAAACCTGATTTTTAAGCCTAATTCCTTAACTAGTTGGTATAGTATAATCAAAGCAAGATTATACTATACCAAGGAGTTAAGTCAGGTCAAAAAGTTGAGCAAAGGGAATAAAACATGCATTTTTTTGGAAAGAGAATGGCACTTAAAGATTTCTTGGGAGTTGGCCTAGGAGTTCCTGTATCTATGATCTATAAGGATCGTCCACCTTAGCATATCACAGTTGTTAATAAAGGATCGGGACTCTTGTTTATCACTGACTTGGGCAGAAGTACATTTCTACATTCCTCCCTCATAATTGCACAGTCCTTCAATTACAGACAATGAGTTGTGCCCACAGAGCAGAATAAAAAAAGTATACACCTTCTTTAATAAAAAAAAAGGAGCATTACGATCCAGCTTTACTAGATTTTAAAACATTCCCTCCACTCATGCATCACTCTGTGTATCTCTGAAACATCTGAAAAATACTCTTCTGTGACTTACTAGACTGTAGGGAATGAGCACTTTTAGATACATTACAATGATCTCCAGAAGAATTTGGCTTCCTTCTTCCATTAACATTAACTGAATGTTTCAACTGGATCTTAAAGGAAGGTTGCCAATGTTCATTTTTTGGGACTCGCTGAGGTTTTGAATGCTCTATATCAGTTTGTCCTTTAAAGTCCCTATCTTTGGAATTATTCCTCCGTCTATTTAGCAATTTGTCTGGAGGTGAGGGTGTGGCACGTAACTGATATTCATCTGGGGATCCTTTTTGTCGGTTTGGCTTCATTTGTTCTTTATCCACTTCTTTTTGAATTTGTAATGCTAATAACCTGTCCTGTTCTTCTTGTTTACGTCTCTCAAAGAGTAGATGTTCCAAATCTAACAGTTTTTGGGTAAAGCTGATTTCTGTTTCTTCTTGCTCTGAGGAAGATGCAGGGAACATTTTCCTTCTTTTTGCAGAAAAGCATGGATCCCTCACTGCTTCAAACAAAGGCTCTTGGTTTTTTCTTTTGGATATATCTTCCTTACTGATCAGTAGGCGAGACTCTTCATTTTCTGTCTCAATTGTGTTATTTTCAATTATCTGTGTCATATCTACTATAGTGCACCCATTCTCTGGTTTGCCACAAGGCTTAACTTCAGCTTCTCTAGAGCAGGGAACTCTGGCTTTGGGTCCCTCATAATTTGTGACACACAATTCTTTATCATGATTGCTTGGCTTCATTTTGACTTCTTCAAGGCACCATTCTGTACCACTGGCACATAACTGAGGCATAGGTGATTCTATTAAAGACTTTGTATCTTGTTCTTGAATTTCAAGGCATAATTGTGGAGAAAGTGTTGGCATATCTTCCTCAATTTCTTGCCACATAGGGCTCTTCACATCACTACCATCAGTTTCCTGTGGAAAACAGAAAAAGACTGAGTGAACCAGTGATACACATCAAGTCATAACATACATATCTTACACTGATATCATAGTTAAGTTGTCATTATTAGGTAGTTATTACTACCACTACTACTAAGGTATATTGATTTTTTCCTATCTTAATACTTTATTTTTATTGTTCAGTTACAGTTGTTTCAATTTTTCCCCAATATATTGATTTCTAATTGTATTTTTATTCTGTGTGCCAATTTAGATTAAAATATTCCCTCATTTTTACTCCCATGAAAATCTACATAATAGAACCCACAAACTAGATTCGCTATATAGCCAATAACAGGCACCATCACCTGATCTCTTTTACCTTATAAACTTCTAGTATCCCAGGGTAGTAAACCTTTTTTGTACTATGAACTGTCCTCCTTTTAGCATTATGGTGAAACTTAAAGACCTCTTCTAAGAATAATATTGTTAAATATAATTACATACAGTCACAAAGAAAATTTATACTGCAACACAATTATTAAAATGTTGAGTTATGATGCAATATGTCTACAAATAAGATCCAGTGGCAAGTCTAGAAACTTGGAATACTGGAGTAGGAGTGAATATAAATATTTCAAGAGATCTATAACCAATACAGAATGATAAAAACCCATCCTTTTTATTGATGACAAAGTCACAGGTACTGTTAAGAGTATTATAGTTTCTTGCTGTCTACATTCATAATTAAAGGAAACTAAAATGAGAAGTCAGAAGAAAGTAAACTTTTCCTTTCTTCTAAGTTCATATGTATTCTCTGGATTCTAACCACGGACCTTAGGTCACAAATCCTTGCTTTAGCAAATATAATTCTTTTCATTTACAGGTCTTAAGTTAAGTCAAGACCTACAGTTAGTTTTGACTGTGGGAAAGCCTGAAGAAAGTCTTCAGTAAGAATTTGCCCCAGAACAAAAAGTACTCCTTTTTGGAGACATTCTGTTCTTTTACGTTCTTAGCTATACATTTATCATTCCTGATAGCATTTCTTATAAACCAATATGGGTTGGATCGAACAAATTCTAGGTTGCTTACCTAGTTTTGCTGTGAATATGAACAGGGTAGAAAAAATATCCCAGCCCTACAATGCCTTTTCTTCCCTTTATTATCTCTACTTAAGGGACTTTGGGCAGGTCTCTTATCTCTGTGTGCCTCAGTTTTCTCAACTGTAAAATGGGCACAAGAAGGATATCTACATTATAGAGTTGAAGGTTATAATGAAGATTTAAAGAAAACACATATAGTATCTGGCACACAATAAATGCTTCTAAAAACCATCTATCTGAATTGAAAAAAGAAAAAAGGAGCCTGAAAAGGGTTTAACAAACCTTTTATGTAGGAAATAGACCTTGGTGACAGCTTACCCTTCCTAGTTCTATTGCTCTGAAAACCTGATAAAGGAGGAATGGCACCTGTGTTACTAGGCCACACAGCTTACAGTAGAAATGACCGTTACTGGGGAACTGCATTTGTACTGGAACTCTGAGGGATCTACAAACACCAAGCGGAAGTCAAAGCTTAGGGCTTCTATAAGTGACTCTTAACTCTTTTGGGTATATTTCTTACGAGGACCCCTGGAAGTTATACTTTTGGGTTGTTACAATAAATAAGCGACTCTCATGGGGCATGAGGCCTCTAAGCCAGGGTGGTTACCACAGTCATCTGCAATGAGAACTCTTACTGAACTGTATGCCCGCCTTTGCCCTACCAGCATGCTGTTTCCCATCCTGAAATCTTTTAAAGTGAAGGTAGTACTTGGGATGATGGCGTATTCAGTTTTGCAAATTTCATTACCTGGGTCAAAAATCCACAAACTATGGCCCATGAACCAAATTCAGCCTGCTGTTTTTGTAAGCACTTTTACTGGAACAAAGTGAAGTTCATTTGTTTGCACGCCGTCTATGGATGCTTCGATGGGACAACAGCATAAACGACTTGTTGTGACTTGAGACCATATGAGCCACAAAGCCTAAAATATTTACTATCTGGCCCTTTAGAGAAAAAGTTTACTTGCTGAGTCTTAGTCTAGGTAACCCTAAGATGACTAAGAAACAGTGTCCCATTTACTATAGGGACTTAAGAAAAAAAAGTTAGGAACCTACAAATATTAGTAATCTACAGCATTCGTAAATATGCCAAACTAAAAACATCTTTAGCACCCACATACCTTAGACATGGAGCACTTCTTGCTTTCTTGTACAACTTCAGACTGTGATGCTGACCCAAATGGAGATTTAGGTGACAAATACCTTAAAAAAAAAAAATTTACCAAAGTATGAATGCTTTGAAAAGCAAGCGGTATGTATCCAGTACAATAAAGCCACTATTAACACTGAAGGCTGTCTGGCTGCACAGCTGATTTGTCAGAAATGGTATAGTCTATCTCCTTGTCTCAGGTATTTTGGTCTAACTCCAGAGCAAAACTTAAAAGGCTGAATATTCGTACTTTAGAGAAAAACAGCAGGAAAGGAAGTACAAGTCAAATCTAAACATTTCTTCATTCTCAAAAAAAAAAAAAGGTATAAAAGGTAGATAGCAACAAAATAATCAAGACTATATAGTCTTACCAAGTACTAGAAAAGACATTTTAAATATGGAGAAAGAATATGTGGAGTTTTTTAAAAACAGCCAATTATTATTTTTTTAAATTATTGATTTATAGAGAGAAGGACAGAGAGAAAGAAACACCAGTTTGTTGATCCACTTATTCATGCATTCATTGGCTGATTCCTACATGTGCCCTGACTGGGGATCAGACCCCAACCTTGGCACAACCTCAACGCTTTAGCCAACCAAACTACTGGGCCAGAATTTTTTGTTTGTTTGTTTTTAAATGCCAGAAATTAGACATTTTTTATCATGGAAAAGTCCATTAGATTCTCTCTATAATTTTGGTATAGAGATTTTTGTTACGTACACATTTTATATCAACTATCTGCTTAGCAACAAACATGTATCAGCATAACATAAGATCATATCTCTAAATTTCTAAACATCTGTAATAGGCTGTTTAACACTGAAAAACATAAAGTCTGTAATATAATGGAAAATGCTATAAAAGAAATGGGAGTAAAAGGACAGGTTACAATATGGTAGGTATATTTTAAAAACTGGAAAAAATCCAAATACATACACAACTATGCTTAAAAATGGCAGAAATCTCCCAAAATGTTGGATGTCTTCAAGATATGGTAACTTTGGGTGATTTTCAAAGAGGAGCTAGGTTTCATTTTTATAAGTAGAGAAAAATGAAAAAAGAAATGTCTGATTGCAGATAATATGTACGACCATAAGCTGCACTGTGTTCTAAGCACCAGTGAGTAGTATACAGAGCAAAATAAAATCAAGACAAAATTTCATATAAATAAATGAACATACCTTACAGATATACTAAAGTGTCTAACCCACATATATAGTTACATCAACCTAAATGCTCCACAAACTTATCAGAACAACCACCATTTCATTTGATAAGAGAAAAACAGGAGAGTCCAGGTATAGTTGCATTTTAATCTTGTTTCCCAAGACTATACTTTCAGGGATCCTTTCTATAGTTCGTTACTCTTATTCCCCAAAGCTGAAGAATCCTTTCTGCCAAAGTTGGAAGTTAGTCACCAAGTATGTTAGTACCAAGAATTATTACAGCATAATACTTGTTTTGAAATTCACAAGCAACAAAACAAAATATGATCAGATACTTTAGCAACTTAATCAGAGATTTATGAATTTGGCTACATGTTCTTTACTCATAATAACCAAGTAATGTATGAATACATGATCATTCTAAAAAACAGAAATGTAGAAAATGTCATTATCCCTTTTATGTAACCAATTGTTTTTATTTTTTTAATTTTATTGTTGTTCAAGTAGTTTTCTGCCTTTTCTCCCCACCCCTCCCGCCCCCTGCCCCAGGCCTCCCCACCTCCTTCCCCTGTTTCCACCCCCACTTCTTATTGTCCATATGTCCTTTACAATTGTTCCTGCAAACCCTTTACCCTTTTCCCCCATTATCCCCCTGCCTCCCCTCTGGTCACTGTCAGTCTGTTCTCAATTTCAATGTCTTTGACTACTATGCTTTGCTTGCTTTTTCATTTTGTTGATTGGGTTCCTGCTAATGGTGAGATCATATGGTATTTGTCTTTCACCACCTGGCTTATTTCACTTAGCATAATGCTCTCCAGTTCCATCCATGCTGTTGCAAAAGGTAGGAGCTCCTTCTTTTTTCTGCTGCATAGAATTCCATTGTGTAAATGTACCATAGTTTTTTGATCCATTCATTTACTGATGGCCACCTAGGTTGTTTCTAGCACTTGGCTATTGTAAATGGTGCTGCTATGAACACTGGGTGCATAGGTTCTTTGGGATTGGTGTTTCAGGGTTCTTAGGATATAATCCTAGCAGTGGAATTGCAGGGTCAAAACGCAAATCCATTTTTAGTTTTCTGAGGAAATTCCACACTATTTTCCATAATGGTTACACCAGTCTGCAATCCCACCAACAGTGTACTAGGGTTCCCTTTTCTCCATACCCTTTCCAACATTTGTTGTTTGTTGATTTATGATGGCCATTCTGACTGGTGTGAAGTGGTATCTCATTGTGGTTTTAATGTGCATTTCTCTGATGGCTAGCAATTCTGAGCATCTTTTCATGTGTCTCTGGACCCTCTGTATGTCCTCCTTGGAGAAGTGTCTGTTCAAGTCTTTTGCCCATTTTTTTAATTGGGTTGCTTCTCTTGCTGGAGTGGAGTCGTGTGAGCTACTCTATGTCTTTTGATTGGGGCATTTAATCCACTTACATTTAAGGTTATTATTGATAGGTGCTTATTCATTGCCATTTTTTCATACCTGTGTTCCTCTCTCTCTTACTGTTTTCCTTCTTTTTCTTAAAGCAGTCCCTTTAGCATCTCTTGCAAAGCTGGTTTGGTGGAGGTGTATTCGTTTAGACTCCTTCTGTATGGGAAGCTCCTTATTTGGCCTTCCATTTTAATTGAGAGCATTGTTAGGTAATGTTGGTTGCAGGCCTCTGGTTTTCATAACTTGGAATATTTCTTGCCACTCTCCCCTGGCTTGGAGCATTTCCATTGAGAAATCAGCTGCTAGCTTTATCGGGGCTCCCTTGTATGTTACTTCCTGTTTCTCCCTTGCTGCCTTGAAGGTTCTCTCTTTGCCTTGGAATTTTGCCATTTTAATTATGATGTGTCTTGAAGTGGGCCTTTTTGGGTTCCTCTTGATTGGGATTCTGTGTTTCCTGAATTTGTGTGACTTTTTCTCTCATCAAATTAGGGAAATTTCCCTAAATCATTATTTTTCAAACATGTTTTCTATCCCTTGCTCTTCTTCTCCTTCTGGTATCCCTATTATATGGATATTATTACATTTCATGTTGTTGTGCAGTGCTCTTACCACCTGTTCATTCTTTCTGGGTCTCTTTTCTTTTTCTTGCTCTGGCTGGGTGTTTTTTTCTATCTTGTCTTCCAACTCGCTGATTCGATCCTCTGCTTCATCCAGCTTGCCTGTCATTTCTTCTAATTTTTTTTTAATTTGAGATTTTAATGTTCATTTCTTCCTGGTTTTTGTTTATAGTTTCTATTTCCTTTTTCATGCTGATGTAGTTTTCACTCAGTTCCTTGTTGTCTGTGAGCTCCTTGAGCATCTTTATGACCATTAATTTGAATTCTATATCTGATAGTTTGGTTACACCCATTTCATTTAGCTCTTGTAGTGGGGAGTTGTCCATTCCTTTTGATTGCATGTTCTTTTTTTTTTTGTCTCCCCATTTTAGGTGACTTTTTTTGTTTGTTTCTGTGCTTCCTGATGTTTCGCTTTGCTAGCTGTCTTTGTAGGGTGAGCTTCTATGGTAGGAATTCTATGTGGTTCAGTGGTGTGGTCTCTGATCTCCTTGTCTGGACGCTCTAGGTTTGCTCTTTCTTCTGTTTGTGTGGGTTTTCTTGTTGTACTTGGGTTTTTACCTTTTGGTGGTTCCTTGGTTGGTGGTTTTTCTCCTCCAGCAGGTATACTGATGTTTGCAGCTCCCACCTATTCTTGTATGTAATCAGTGGCAGGGGGTAGGCAAAATGAATTAAGACAGCAGGAGAGTATTTTATGGGATTTAAAGTACCAGTAACTACAGAACGATAGGAGATTCTTTGAACAAGTATAGTGTTAACTGTGATATTTCACCCAATTAGCCTCTTTTTATAAAAGGTGAAAGAGAGATAAGACTCTTGTTAGAGGGAAGGATGACTGTGAGCTGAATCCAGAAAACAGAGTGCTTGTCCAAAGTTAGATGATGAAATATACTGAGATTAAAATATAGAAAGTAGGTGAAGTGTGAGAGAGAATAGAGTTAACCACAACAACAATAATACTCAGGATTAAAGTGAAGTGGGCTAAGATCATGGAGGGTTGCTGTGTAGTATGTACAATTGTATGGAGGAACAATTATTTACAATAGTACTGGAACAACAATAAAATGACAAGAAATATGAGATTTGGATAACCAAAATAGAAAGTAACTTATCAAAAGTTGAGTTATTAGAACATGGGTGAAGTGAAAGAAGGAAAATTAAAATACAATAAAGAGAATAAGGAAAACCAGCCAAACCATGCAATTAAACAGGGAAATAAAACAAGGAAAACTAAACATAAGGAAAAGAAATAAAAACTAATAAAATAAAAGTGGTAAAAAATGGTGACAAGATAATGATAATAATACACACACACAATAAAATGCCAGCTCTGTGGGATAGCAAAGTGACCTTTGTCTCAGTTTCTCAGCCTTGTGCTCCCCCTTTCAATCTGCCCCTGGACCCTTTGTAACTCCACCTCTTTGTCTCACTTGGGGGAAAAAAAGAGAGGATCCAAAAAGAAAAAAAATACATATATATAATAATAAACCTCCTGCTGACTCTAAACCTGTTCAGCAAGTCCTGCTGGTCTTCCTATATGACATAGGAAGAGGCAGCTGGGCTTTGCTTTTTTCTCTTCCTTTGGTTCTAAAAGGGTAGGGACCTGGTCTGGGTCGCACTATCCAGTCTCCCGGCTTCTGGCCCATGTCTTTCGTAAGCTTCCAGGCTCAAATCAGCCACTCAGCTGCTCACAGCGAGTCAATCTCTGGCAGGGAGCCCCAGACAAGCAGGGCTAACAGTACTGTCCAGCCCCTCACTCTGGGCACTCAGTGCAAGACAGGTAGGGTGCATGGTTCAGGCTCTGCTATTATCTCTGGGCACGCAGTGCCAGTCAAGCAGGGT